TTTTTGGTAATGGTGTCCAAATGTTCTCCGAGATCAAAAAGTAAGTAGGGCTTTCCTGCCTCTATTTATTTCTGTATTGGGATGAGCGGGGGGCAGCGGGCGTGCCCCCGTGCATCCCGAGAAGGGATCCCCGAAGGCCGGAGCGTGACTTTCTTGCCAGTCCTGGGAGTGTTTGGCCCAGGAAAACTATTACTCACAAAGAACAAGTTCAGTGCATGGTTGAATTAAGACTGTAAAAGCTCCTAAAGTTGGTTGGTATGGAAACCTAATCCCAGCGAACCGCTCCGTGGCACAGCTGGACTGTTTACTTTCTCACTTCAAATATAACTGTGTAAACATTGGCTGGGAGCTGCCAGCGCGGCTCCTACCAACCAGTTAATATACTGGTGGGGCTGGGAGGACAGGAGTCCTGCCGCAGCTATGGAGGGAAGCTCCTGGGTAAAATCAAATTGCATCAAAACGCAGTTCTTCAATCCTGCATGCGGTTGATCAACTTGGATACAATTTTACGATTTTCTTTAAAAAATCTCCCCAAAACCCAAAATCAAATCCAAAACAAGACCCCAACAAAAAAGTAAGTAAATATTGCAGATCACACCTAGGCAAATACTTTTGACCCCAGTCCATCCTGGGAGCAGCCAAATCAATATCGTAAGGGAAACTTTTTAAAGTCTCGTGTTCCAAGAGTGGGTGAAACTTAATATTACTACAATAAAACGGTTTAATAAAGAAGGGCTTTAATAGTGAGCTAATTTGATTGAGTTTCCTAATTCCACTTTAATTGGAAAAGGAGTTGTCTGTTTGGTTATAAAGTGCTAGGGTTATGTTAGACTGAGGAAAAAAAAAAAAAAAGATGGACGTTGAGCATCTGAATAAACTTTTTTTCTATTTTTTTTTCTTTTTTGGTTGGCAGCTGACTTTGTGCAGGATGGGTTTCCATATCTAGGATTATGAACGGGCTACAAAGAGCTGCTACTTAAAGAAATCAGGTCGCCACATTTCTCCTATTCTAGCCCTGTTGAGAAAGGCTTAGGAGCTGTTGATTTAACTCAGCTCCCCTTTTAATTATGAAAGCCATTCTTGTGTAGTTAGGCGAGCAGGACAATTTATCAGAATTGTTGCCGTGTCTTGGAGGTTGGCTTGAGCTTGGATTTATACAACCGACAATGGGGATCACGACGATTAACTTTCATATGGGTAGTTTAGGCAGTTAGACTGGGGGGGAGTAGGAGGAGGGAGGAGGGGTGAGGGTCTGATAAATTATCGTACTAAAGTAATTCCTACAGATTTAAAAGAAAAAAAATTGATAGAAGCTTAGAATTAAATACTTGATTTTGAA